AGTTAAAAAACTTCTATTTAATTAAAATAAACAAAAAATTTGCTTCTCCTTAGAATATTATATTTTAATTAAATTCCTGAGCACAGTAACTCTGAAGTTATACAGTTGACAAAATCAATCACTAAGGAACATAAATCTAACATACAGCACATGGTAATGTTTTGATAATAGATTAGAAGTTTCACACGTCATGAATTAAGGACACTGGTTTTTGCTTTTAGCACTCCAGATATGTACTATTATAAGCGTATGCCAATTTTATCAAGTTCCCACAAACTCACCAACACCTGGCTTACTGTATTTCCTGTCTAAAGGAATAAGGACATCAATTTTTTTATCTCTTTGTGTCCTGCCCCCACCATCTCTCTCTCTCCGCTTGCGTTTGTGTGTGCGTCTCTGACTTTCTCTCTGTCTCTGTCTCTGTCTCTGTCTCTCTCTCTCTCACACACACACACACACACTGACACTTACAAAGGCATACAACTCCAAAGAAAGAAAGCAAAATATTAACCCAACCACCAAATAATAGCCATTGGACCAACCTTATAAAGCAGTGGCAGTTTTCCTAATTTCAGGAGTGCAATCTGATTTGTTACATTTTTCATTTTTTTAATCCTTTTTAAATCATCTGCAGTTCCATAACTCACATCAATGACTTCAGCCTGAAAGAGAAGAAAAGACAAAGAAAAATAGAGCCTTGGAGGAGGAATTATAGCCAATTTCCATTTAGTATGACAGAATTATTCATAGTAATTTGAAATGGTCAAAAGAGAACTAATTCTATCTCTTAATCTGTCCCAGTTACCATAAACATGATCTTTTTTTATCTCTATCAAGGTACAATTGCTCTGGTCACTTGGGAAAATATGTGAGCCATTTTTGCTTTATCTCTCCCTTCTAAACAAATTACAAACTCAGTTCATTCTTCCAACAGACCATCACATTTGGAATATTCTGCATTCTTGTTTCTGGAATTTGAGCCATTTTACAAAACACTGCAAGATAAATTTGCATAAGGTTCAAAAGCAATCATATTATTCTCAGGCTTGAAAAAAATTCAAAGATTCTCTAGTGTTATCCAAATTAAGCGAACTATCCTCTACTTGCACAGTCATCATGCACAGCTGCTCAGATTATGCATGTAGCCAGTTGTGAGTGACAACCCCTTGGGTTGTGCAGGATTCAACCTGTTCCACTAACTACATGTGCCAGCCTGGCATTCTAGGACTTTAGAACATAGACCCAAATTACCATTTCTGTCACACTTCCCACTACCCCTACAGTTATCTTATATTCTTTGACAATATTATTCATTTTTAAAAGTCTCCTTTTGTTAATGTAAAAATTTCATGCCTTCCTGGAGATTCTAACAGGAATCCTCTGTTGTAGTTACCCATTTCCTTCTCCTTGAAAAATACTGAACTGCAGGTTCATATATTCCTATGAGCCTAGATGCTTCCCTTCAGCTTTACTTTCTATAATTTCTATTATTAAAATAATAGTTGTTATGCTTTCCAATGATTATATTATAATACAAAATGTGCTCTTTCAAACTATAGCATATATACTCAAGAGATGTTGATAAAAAGAGTTAGTGGTGGTAAATATTGGAAAAAATGAAGATGGAGAATCCAGACCTCTAACTTTCCACCCTTCTCAGTTGGAACTAATGCACTTCAACAAGTTTTATGCACAGGACTTGCACAGAAAACTCATTTGAAGAAAGAATTCTGTTTCTAGAACAACATGGAAATACTACCAAGAGATCAGTAAATCTGCTAGAGAAAATATTTCTGGTATAAAATATTTCTTTAGCCATCACTTTCATCTGCACCTGTAAAATATCTACTAATACATTAAGGCCATTCCAAATGTGACCTACTAGATGAACTGTATTTCTCTGTCGCCCAAATATATATGATCTCTCTCTGCTTCAAATCCCAGAGTGACCTGTCTCTGACTGTCTTAAGGCCCTCACTGGACCTGTCTCTTTATAAATATATTTACCTAAAGTTTCAGTTTCCAGTACAAGGATATTCCTTGGTGAAGGGGCCATCATGCACCCATTGCCACTCGGGTTTCTGGCATATGCTCTTGGCTCATTGGTCTTCGACTGAAATGATTATAGCTTGTATAATGTCTCTGAAAAGTTAAGCTGTACTTTCAAGTGGATTTAATAAGAAAACTTAATTGTTAAAAACACTTCTCTTTGT